CAAATGTAGCTACCACCACAATGGCCCCTGCCATGAAATGCAGTGCTCTAACTGCCACAGGAGAGGACACACAGTCCGTTTCTGTAAATCTCCAGCGAGACCGATCGCCCAAGTCCCCGGCTCTGGTGCGAGCCCGACCTGCTATGGATGTGGCGAAACAGGCCACTATAAGAGGGACTACCCCAAGGCGAAAAATGCTGGCGGAGCAGGGAGGGTACTAGCGATAGGCCACGGGGAAGCAGTTGCTGACCCGACAGTGGTGACTGGTACGTTCCTCCTCGATAACTCCTAGGCATGCATTCTATTCGATAGTGGAGCGGAGCGAAGCTTCGTAAACCATAAATTTGCTCGCATGCTTAAGCAACCACCGCACGCACTCAAAGAACTATTCACAGTAGAAATGGCTAATGGAAAAACTGAAAGTACGAGTAGCATATATTTAGGTTGTACCCTAACTCTAGATAACCATTCATTCCCAATCGACCTCATGCTAGTCTCAATAAAAAGTTTCGACGTTATCATTGGCATGGATTGGTTAAGCCTTCATCGCGCCAACATCATGTGCTACGAGAAAGCAGTCCGTCTAAACCTTCCGTCTAACGAAACTCTTATAGTCTACGACGACAAACCCGGTGCAAGTCTTTGCATCATATCAAGTATTCAAGCACAGAAGTATCTGCGTAAGGAATACCATGCATTCCTTGCTCACGTCGTCGACACGAGCCTCAAAACGAAAGAACTAAAGAACATCCTTGTATTTTGCTGAATTTCAAATCTTTAAAAGTATGTTTTGTTAATTCGATTTTGGTATTAGATCAGCTTAAAAATAAGCCTTACATGTCTATGAGACCAAGAAAGAAAGAGGCAATGAAAAAACATAAGAAAGTTACTGTAGCTCATGAGATAAAAACCATTCCTGATTCTGAAGAACATGAACAAACCACAACTCCTCCTGTTTATGAACCTGAGAAGATCCCAATTCATGAAAATCAATGGTTTAAACCCTTCAAGTGGTAGTGAGTTAGTAATTACAACTTGTTAGAATAATCTATAACAAATTTAGAAGCTCTTTTTGATCATCTTATAGGTGTCTTTTATAAAGAATGTGACTTGTGGTTGATGATTAGATTAGGTTGAGGAATAAAGAAAGAGAAGATAATGACTGTTGGTTTTATATATTTTTAGTGGAAATCAACGGTTCCGCTTCCTGTTCCTTGTTATCTACTATGTTGTTTATCCATTTTTCTCCTTAAATCTTTTAAGCAAATAGCACCAAATAGAAATAATCTTACCTATTCCCAATTTACCCTTGATGTAATCATAGTTTTAAGTTATTGGTTGTCACCAAACAATGATTTCTGGTTTTATTTGGCCTTTGTGGACATGCACACGAAAGGTTTTTTTTTGTTTGTGGGTACATGTTGGCAAATTTTGTATCATATTATTTCTATTTTCCAAGTGATGTCCATATTAAGGGTTTTTTTTAGGTAGACTTATATTAATTAGTATCAACTTTTTTTTAAATTAAGGTTTTCCCACAACTTTTTGAACGGAGAAAACTAGTACCTGTTGTGATTTGTGTAAAAGAGATAGAGAGATGCTAATGATCTTATCATATGTATTTTGTTAAACATGGTCACTAAAGCTAAAATTAGAAACATGGAATACCTGTTGAAAACTAATAATGCCTTGTTAGCAACCAGTTAACTAGTTAACAATCTCATTAAAGAAAATGACATCATGTGTATTTTGTTTTAATTAGTAAGTTTGCTATCCTTAATTATTAAGTTTGACATGTTTTTGTGTTGTTGTTATTGTAGGTTTGATATCCAAAGCATAAACTATTTGACCGGCTGAAGGTGGGTTACAAGCCACAAAAGAAAACATACCTAATACCTTCAAATTCACTACATCAAATGAAGAGATATAAAAGCAGGGCTAAATTCAAGAAATAGCATTGTACTTTGAGAAATTAATAAGATATAGCATTGAACTTTCATAGTTTTGTAATAGTTAATTACACTAGCAATATTTTTTATCTCAGTACTTTTTAATTGTAATATATATAATTTTTGTCCATAAAAAATATATTTGGAATTAATTATATTTATAATTGTAATATATACAATATTTGTCCATAAAGAATATATTTGGAATTAATTATAGATTGATCCCTGTTTTTTACATTTGGCACTTATTAAATTTACACTAATTACTATTTGGTCATTATACTTTTTAATTTTGCAATTATTACATGTTGGTCCCTAGACTTTAAATTTGCACTTATTATAGTTTGGTCACTGGTTTTTAAATTTGCACTTATAATAGTTTGGACCCTGGACTTTAAATTTGCACTTATTACAGTTTGGTCCCTAGTTTTTAAATTTGCACTTATGACAATTTGGTCCCTGGACTTTAAATTTGCACTTATTACAGTTTGGTCCCTAGTCTTTAAACTTACACCATATATACAAATTTGCCAACAATGCAAAATTCATGAAAGAAAAAAATATCAAAATATTTATTTATGTCACATAATAACAAAAAAAAAAATCCATCAATTGAACCCTAATTAAGAACATTTGCAACTTAAGCTAACAAAATTATCAAAAAGACCAACTAATTACACGAGCTTTTTTTATGTAGACCCCGAAAATCCCACATCGCCATGCGATTTGTTTTGTTTCCACGTTTCCTAAAATGAATAAAAAATTATTTTCATTGTTAGTATTGTCATTTATTTAAAAAAAATAATGGAAATTTAAGTAACCTTTTAGAGGTGGCTGTTTCAATTTGATCGAAACTTTGAGATGCTGGATTTTTACATGTTTTTTGACGGTGTCCATACTCACCACATCGTGGACACTTGTGTCTTCTTTTAGGCTCATCCGATGATTTAATTCTATTTTTTCTTAGTCGTCCAGGTGGGCGTTTGATAATAGGTGGATATATTTTCTCCCCATTTTTTTCCGCCCATTGATCCTGTCCGGGCATCGGAGCAATTTGAAAAGCATATGCAGATTTAAATTTCTCTATAGTGAAATAGGGATCAACATATTTGTCCTGGTTAGCATCCCTTATAATAACAATAAAAGTCGTTGCATGTACACATGGTCGACCCTGAACTTGCCACACGCGACAACTACATTTTCTTTCATCTAAGCTGATCTCCCAACGTGTTCCCTTGTACTTCACTTCAGCTTGATTCTCACAACTTCTAGTAGTTTCATATTCACCTAAGTTCTATATGAAAATTAAAAACATATATATATATATATATATATATATATATATAATATATATATATATATATATATATTATTGAAGTAAAAACTAAAACAAATATAGTCATTCAACTTAATTATTTAACATGTTTACCTTAGCGATGTCGTTGAGATGATTTTTAGCAATAGGAACTAATACGCCATTCCATGTACTCACCAAATTGCTTTTTTTTTTTATCAAACCGTTTCATAATCTTTTCCCTAATTGCGTCTAGGAGATCAAGCACAGGTTTATAGCGCAAGTTACCAATCCAGGAATTAAATGTTTCTGAAACATTATTAGTGATGTAATCACACTTGGAAGTAGTTCCAAACTTGTTTCTACTCCAAATTATTTTGTGATTAGTATTTAGATATGCAATGGCATCTTCATTTTTATCACTAATTTCCTTTAATAACCTATCATGCTTGGTATGACGATAGGTTTTCGCAACAGCCCATATTTTGGTGTTAAAAAGTCACCACGAAAGTCTTTCTTGAAGTTGCTATATAAGTGCCTTATACATTCTCTATGCTTAACATTAGGATACACATTCATGATGGCTACTTCTAACCCTTTCTGCATGTCCGATGAGATAACAAGACCATTTGGGGTTCCAATTGATTTTTTGAGTGAGTCAAGAAACCATGTCCATGATTGTGTGTTTTCTGATTCAAGCTCACAATATACTATTGGAAAGATAGAATTGCTACCGTTAATACCAGTTGCAGCGGCTAGTACACCATTAAACTTTCCTTTTAAATGACAAGCATCAAGACCAATATACGGACGAAAACCAGCAACAAACCCTCTAGAACAAGCTGCTAAACAAATAAAAAACCTTTTAAAAAGTTTCTTTCCACCAACTTTGTCAAAGTCAATTTCCGCAATGTTTCCTTCGTTCCTTTATAGTAGTTCTTCTCTAAATTCGTCCATCTTCATGAAAGAGTCTTCCCACTTCCCATACATGTCGGTATAAGCTTGCTCTTTCCCTCTAAAAACTTTTAGGTACGGCACGTCAACATTGTAAGTTTTCATAATCCAATTTCTAAGCTCATATGGAGAGACATCCCCATCAGATTTCAACTTGTCAGTTACTACATTAGCAATCCAACCTTGAGTGGCACGCTTATTGCTACCTTTGTTGCTTCGAGTGCAAGTATGTACTTCTACCATTTTCTTAACCTAAAAAAAAGAATTAAATAGACATAAATATATTTTTAATATAAAGCATGTTAAATATAACTTAACATATACACTTACTTCAAAGGTAACTTCATCTTGTGTAATAGAAGCATGAATTCTCCACTCACACTTTAGGTTTTCACATCTTGCTGTGAATCGTGTGGGGTCACTTTTCTGAATGTAGTAGTTAAACTCATTTATGAATGCAAAGAGGTTCAAAGCTCTCCTAAAATCAACCACATTTTCAAATTTTGAGCCGACTTCCATTCTTATACTATTCTTACTAAATGAGTTAACTTCATCATCATCATTCACTATACCGTCTTCATTATCAGAACTGAGATGACTAAGATAGCTTTCTTCACTAGGACAAAGGTCTGCATCATACTCATCGTGTGGTTCATCTCTGTTGGCACACGAATGGTTAGCATGAATATTGGAGCCGAGGTTATTCTCTATTGTCACATAAATGGTTACTTGTTTCTCGCTTCCATACATGCTAAGCATAGCCATGAACTTTTCATCAGAATCAAGCTCAATAAACGATTCGTCTGGTGCATACTTGTCAACATAAAGAATAGAAAATTTTGGGTTGCTCATTGATGAATAATGCTTTATCACTTCTTCGTGTAGTTGACTTAACTTGTATAAAACTGTGTCTATGTGGATACATTTTTGAGAGCCAAAATAATATATTTGCCTACAACTGTTCTTCATTAGCCGAAAGTAACCCCCATATTTTAATTTTAACTTGAACTTGGATGTTGGTATACGCCTGAAATTGAAACTAATTAGAGAAACAATCATACAATTTTGTAAAGGTTTAATAAATTAAAATTAAGATATTCACATAAACATACTCGATCACAGGGGATGTAGCCCTGCTTTCCCATATTGGTTTTGATGTGTCTTGAAGGGTAATATATTCTGTTTGAGAATGATCTTCGAATATTGGTGTGTATCGCATCTATAACGGCCTAATTTTAAATCGACGATAAGAAAAACAGATATAAACGTATAACAAATACCAAATGTATGCTTTACAATTCACAAAGAATATTCAATTCAAAAAGAATTCATATTGCACATTAGTTCATTACTTGTAATCAAACATTCAATGACAAAGAAACGAAGAAATAATATGCAAAACGATTTTAATTCAACAATAACAAAAAACATATAGAGATAACCTGTTGATTGTAATCACATTCATTTTTCAAATTATATCATCAATTGTAATAACATTCAATGATTAATTGACAAACAAACCCAACAAACAACCTAGTGATTGTACCCAATTAGCCAACAAATAATATGCAAAACGGTTTTAAATAATCATGAACAAAAAACATAGAGATAACCTGTTGATTGTAATCACACTCATATTGGACATTATATCATCAATTGTAATCACATTCAATGTTTAATTGACAAACAAAGCTAACAAATAACCTACAGATTGTATCCGATTACACATGTGTTGATCACGCATTCTCAGGTTTTAAGTTATTCATCCGTCCTAATCATGAATGTAATGTTCAATTCACAAACAAAGCCAGAAATTAACCTGAATAATCGTCCTGATTGCAACAAGGAAGAGGCGACGACGCTAAAAAGAAGTCAACGCTGTGTTTTTTTTTTTATCGACAAAACTTCTGCGATCACAGCAACAGGAACATGTAAGGGTTTATGCGATTTAGAGAGTAAGGGTATTCTTGTCCATTTAGTTATTTTTTTCATTTTTAATGATTTTAAATTGTAAAAAATTCTTATTAAATAGTAAAATCTATTTAAAAATTAGATTTGGGTAAATATGATATTTTAAAACATTAAGAAGGACAAATATGATATTTAGGGTTTGGATCGGGCAAATACAACATTTAGATTTTTAGCAGGGGTATATACGAAATTGTCCTAGCAGGGTATATACGAAATTGTCCCTGTGTTATTACCCGATATTCCCATAACAAACGGTTGTGAATCCAAATTGGAGGGTTTTATAAAACAAACAGAACAGGACAACAACAAGCCGACAAGGATCCAAATCCGATTATACCCATCTTTACATGATCAAGTCGGGTCTTAATCAGTCGACATAGGTAGACCTAACCTATCATAATTGTGGAGAAGATTTCCAATTCACTGGGGGAAAAAGCGAATACAACATTTATCATGAAGAAGATCTCCATGGCCATGCTAATGATCACCTATTGATTAATGGCTCCATCGGTTCCTATATCGAAGGCATACTAGTCCCTATGAATGTTACAGCTGTTACAGTTTTCATCTAATTTGTGTCTACGCATCATACAATATCTGTATCACAAATGCATCAAATTCAAATATGTAGATCGGATAGTCAGCTTCAGTGTATTTGACGAAGGTTTGCTCGAAAATCTAGGGTTCTTACTTCTTAGAGGTGATGAATTGAATAAGCACGAAAAAGAATTGTTTAGGTGTATGTTTAAAGAAGGATGAAAAAACCCTGATGAGAGGCAGAGCAGATCGATAACTGAGCCCAAAGCACGGTTGCCGCCGTCTACTTCCCTCCGCCGATTCGCCGCACCCTCCATTTTCTCCGATTAGATGTGAGGTGAAGAGGCGCATGTAGGTAAAGATAAGCAAATTACACACTCCTATTTAAAAAAAAAAAAAAAAAAAAAAAAAAAAAAAAAAAAAAAAACTTCCAATTTCAGTCATAATTTTTAAAATCATGAATATAAAAATAAGCAAATTACACACTCCTATTTTAAAAAATAATAATAATAATAATAATAATAATAATAATCCTATTTTACACACTCACACTTTTGACAATTTATATTATTTCCTTTTGGTTTCGTATTGGTTGTTAATTTTTTATTTTAAAGTATTTATTTTTTAATTATGACTTTAAATATTTTTAATTGTGATATGAATTATTTGATATAAACTTATAACAATGAAAAAAACATTTAAAACACAATTAATTCATATATTTTATATAATTTATTATATGTCAAACACAAAAATAATTAAGATTAAAGTTAAAAAATAAAAATTTTAGAAGTTAAAAGTCAATAATAAATATGAAACGGAAGAAATACATGTTTATATAATACATAAAGATATGAGCTATTTCAAATAAATTTTTTAATTAATTTATAATTATAATAGGTAATTGATTTGTTATTTCATATAAAATTATTTTATTATAACTTTATATAATTTAATAATTATAAGGGAAATCGAGTAATTTAACCAGTCCTAAGCAGTTATCCCGGTCGAAATTTCAATATCGGTCACATGCTGCTAATTGAAATCACGGTTATTGTGGTGGTATAGCAGAGGTATAACAGTTTTTTAATATTATGTATAATTTGTATTATATATTTATACAAAATTTATATAGTAGAATATTAATGCTATATAGAATTAATATGGTAAAAATTCATATGAAAACATAACATAATCTATATATAATATTCTAATATAGTAATATGGAAACTAAAAAGTATCAAAGTATTAAAATCGTTCGTGGTTTCTAAGTATTTAAAGAGATCAAAAAGAGAAGTTGTCATTTGTTTCTTTGTAATGGTAATTAATTATACTTATTATTTAGACTTATTAAGACAAAAAAGTATAGTGGACTAATTAAAAACATAAAAATTTAATTTTGAAATAGCAAACAATCTTTTTTTCTTTGTCAAAGTAGCTACGAAATTGTAAAAGCGGGTGTAGCATCGTTATAGCGCTGATGAGGTTCACGGTAAATAGCGGTCAATAGCACCGCTAATAGCGTCACCGTTATTCGTAAACGCTATTTCAAAATAACGGTACAATAATACCGCAAAATGCTATAGCATTGTTATCGCACCGCTATAGCGCGCTATTGATAGCATAGCTAACCACTTTTTAATGTGAATTTGAAAAAAAAAATAATAATAATGTTTTTTATACAAAAATAACCACTTCGTCGGGAATGAGGCATTTTGGACTAAGATAAAACATTTTTTGATTAACTCCGGAATGATATTTCGGATTCCGGATTAAAATTCAGAATATAAACAGTATTTTGGAATGCCTAATTCCGGAGTACTATTCATATTCCGGACAAAAAAAATGGATTTAAAAAAAAAGTCTGCAATTTTAGAATAGATCCGAAATCTGAATAATAAATCTGGAATTTAAAAAAAAAATCATTTTTTCTTAATTTAACAATAAATAAATAAACATTGTAATATGAATTATATATAATATAACCGTATAAAATTAGATATTTTAGAAAAAATGATGACATTAAACATTACCAAATGAAGCATTCAGAATAAAAAAACAAAACAATTTTTTTGAAAAAAAATGAAAAATATTCCGTAATATAAAAAATATAAAAAGTACTCTCGAATTATACATTATTGAAAAAGTGATTATTTTTCAAAAACCGAAAAAATACGATAATTTTCTTTAAAAATCTAGTCTATAATAGTTAGTTTACCTGGTTTTCTTAATTATTATAAAGTATAAAATGTGGACGGAATTTGTAATTTACTTAAAAAAACAATCATACAACAAAAGTAATGGATTGTGATATACCCATGATCCATCTACATCTTTTGGAAAAGAAAACTAAAAGTGAATCAAATCCTCCGATCATTACGGAAAAAGATTTCATACCACATGATGTTCACTTTTCATGTCTCATTTTCATTATAAGACATAGTATTTTTTTACGCATACGAGATATCCAAATATAAGCTAAATTGTCGAGTCCGACCACTTGATAATGGGCCCAATAGCGATTACATTATATATATATCAAGTTCTTGAATAGGAACCTTTTGTGGTTTAGAATTGTGCCACAACCATTTTTGGCTTTAGACATTTGATACAACCATGGGGTTTAGAGGGGTAAAGTGAGCAGCTGCACAAGGTCCAATTTTTTTTATTATATATTTTTATTTAAAAATACAAAATTATAATAAGGATAAGGGCCATGTTTTTCTTATTCGTCCGGGGCCTTTAAGAATATTTCATTTTTCAGGATCGGTTCTGGATACAACACTTTTGAAAATTTAAATTTAGCCCCGACCTCCTTACCTTTCAATCTCAAATCCTCTATCGACTTCATTACACCGACTCCAATACTTTTGCCCTCAACTCCATTTTCCCTCTTAATTCTCATTCCCACCTCCATCAATAAACCACCGCCGACCTTGCCTTCCAATCACGTTCTTAGGTCTGGTTTCCACCACTTCGCTCACCTCTCCACTAGACTTTTGGATTTACCTTCTTTGCTGCTCTGTGAACATACTCTCGCCCCATCTCTAACCTTAAATCCAAAGAGCAGCCACCACTTCTCATGTCGCCCACCACAATCCTCTCCCAACTTTACCATCGCCTACCTGTGCTAATACTACCATACTCCAAACCCAGCACCTGAAGGAATCTCTCAATGATAGCAACAGAAACACGGAGAGTGGAATGGGAGAAAGAGAAAGAGGAAGTTGGAATTTGACTTCAAGTGACCTCAATTACTTCGTTTTCTTCTCAATTTTTTGTAAACCGATTTGTTGTTCAAGTATGGAATATTTGGGAAATTTGATGTTTTTTCTGGATCTTCAATTACTATGTCTTAGTTGTTGATACCACGTTATAGAAATAAAATACCATTCCCCACCACCACCCTCTACCCCACAAGACAACCATTTAAGGTAAATTGTAGATTGAGGTCAAGCAAATATGAATATACACATGTTTTGCATCCGGAGGCCAGGGCTGTTGCTTTCTATGACAAAAACTCCTAATAATATCGGTTCAAACATTTAACAGGCTGTTATCAGTTGTTTCAATAGCTTTTCCGACTGATGTATATTATCAATTGATTGTATAGTTAATTAATTACTTTATTTTGGAATCATAGAAATATGTATTCACAAGCTTTATAAATATTTTAATATTTTGTTAAAAAACTTGAAGTAAATAATCTATATTATCTCCATAGTTAACCCTTGTAATATGTCATGTTGTATTTCATATAATTTTGATCTAATTATGGACTACTTTGCCTAATTATACGACCCATAGAAGTTCTAATTTACATGAAATCAAACTCCTCGGCCATATGGATCATGAGAATCTATCCACAGTCTTTTCTCGATTGTCATCATCTTCTTCTATAATTTTTCTATATTTTGGACCTTCTTATACATGATTATGTCTTATTTATCAATATTTTGCAGATTGTCAAGATTTAAGACATCATAAGGCCACCATAGGATGAGAAGTTGGTGATGTGTATATTGTGTATGACTTGATGGCCACTGATCTGCATAAAATTATTCGTTCTTCTCTGATATTTCAATCTAAAATTATGATAGCCAATTAATTGCCGTTGTTGTTGGTTGTAACTTTAAGAAAATAATTTCACAATAACACCCACGGACAAAATGGTCCACCATATAAAAGACCGAGAAAATACAACAATTTAGTCGCCCACATGCATAGGGGGGAAATGGTCCAAATGACAAAAGGCACTCCCATGATATGATGCTCTATTACTGTCGTCTTTCTTTAAACCATATGAAGCAAGAGTGGTGATGAATTCCCTTAATCATGCTGTTCAATGTATGTATAATGTAACGCCCGTAGATCCGGGCTAGTCAATTTAGAGGCAACATGGGTCGAAAACGACTTTTCGGCAAAAGATTATTTAGAATAAATAATTTTAACCAAGTTATATTATATGTCACAAGGTTTCCGTACATATAAAGAAAGTCGAAATCTGAGTTATAACGAAGAAGTTATGGTCCGTCGAAGTTTTATGGCAAAACCGGCACGGCATCGGGAATCGTAAAAAGTGAATTTATGATAGAAGACTTTTTAGCCTTAGTTATCTAAACCAAAGTCGTAGAGTATGTTAAAATGAGAAAATCCGTAAAAAGAACGCCCAAATCTGACTTCGTATGAGGAAGTTATGATTTTTCAAAGTTTCAGCTTAGTAGTGTACAACCCGAAACTCGAATTTTAGTTCGAGCGGTTTTTGGCTTACGCGACCTAAATGAGAGTTAAAGATATCATTAATAGGAACTCAACAGTAAAAATATGGACGAAAACGGAGTTCGTATGAAAGAGTTACGAATTCTTCGCGGTCATTTAACAGTCTAAACGCCTCCTACTGTTAAATTTATGATCGGTCGAGAATTAGCCGACGGAGCCAAAATGAAAGTTGTAGATATTATTTTTACCTACGCATGGATATAAAGAACGTCGAAAACGGAGATAGTATGAGATAGATATAGACGAAGCTTAGTCGCTACTTTTCGAGCGCGGCGAATTCGATACAGTTTTGTAAATCCGAGATAGAATGAGAATTAGCCAACGAGGTCTAAATGAGAGTTGAAGATCTCATTAATAGGAACTCAACGGTAAAAAGACAGACAAAAATGGAGCTCGTATGCGAAAGTTATGGACGAAGCTTAGTCCCTACTTTTCGAGCGCGCGAATTCGATACAGTTTTGTAAATCCGAGATAGAATGAGAATTAGCCAACGAGGTCTAAATGAAAGTTGAAGATCTCATTAATAGGAACTCAACGGTAAAAAGACAGACAAAAACGGAGCTCGTATGCAA